TAAGGAATCCTACTTCGCGGAATTTCATTTATCACGGTAGGGTCTAGAACCGATTAACCGCGATAAACGAGGGTTCACTGTATACCATTTTGCCTGTCTACCACCTACAAGGGAGAGTATAGCTTTTCCACAGCCTCAACTACTTTAGATATTCTCTTAAAAATGAAATTTTGTGAATCTGTTCTACGAAAGCAGTTTCTTGCTTGGCGTTAGCTGTCTTCTGTTACTTGGGGAGCTGGACACCGGCTTAGGTGCAGTACTTCTCTGGAAAGTTTCCTGCTCCTACCCTTTGCAGACTTCTTTCATTGTTGTTGAAAATAAATGGAGCAGAACATACATCCGCTCAACAATTGTGACACAAGTCAGTGGCGTTGATTGCATTCTTCAATTTGTGCAGTCCTCCTCCTCCTCCTCCTCCTCCCTGTCTGATGAGCTCCTCCTCCAATAACTTGAATTCATTGCCCCCTGTGTTCCCTAGTCATAACCTCTTGTCCATTTGCGAGCATACAGCTAGTTCTGCCAAGGAAAACAGTGCTCAAGGCCTTTCCCCAGTTTTTCCTATTGCACAGCTTGTGATTTTCTTATTGAGCTTCTAAGAGTTCTTTACATATGAAGGACATTAAGATCTTGCCATACCTTTTTTCTTAGCCTTAAACTACATTTGTGTCTTAAATGGGTGGGTGCAATAGCCCCTCCCTGCTTCCCTTCCTACTCCTGTTGTGCTAGGGTCCTGCTATTAGTTAACATAAGGTCATCCTAGATGAGGGTGGGTCCTAATTCTAGCTGAACGGATTGTAAGAGAGAAGAAACACAGACAGACAAAGGGAAGAAGGCCATGGGAAGGAGGAACAGAAGAGGAAGTAGCCAGAAGTCGAGAGAGACCAGGAAGGATCTTCCCCTAGAGCCTTCAGAGTGGACATGACCTTCTAGCCTGCGTTACTGTGAAGAGACATTTCTGCTTTTTGAAGGCACCTACCTTATGGTCCTTGGTTATGATAACCATAGGAAGCTAACACAGTTTGGGAGCAGCAAGGGACAGGAATTTTGGAGGAAAGCAGGGGAAGTTACAGTCTTTTTAACAATTACATGGTGGGACCTCAACTGACCCACAACTCCTGGCCACCAGCCAATCCCTTTGAACCTTGGTCAGAACTCAGCACCCACTCACTCCCATTTCCTAATTTCCCCCCTCCCTCCCACACCACTCGTTCTGGGTCTAAGGAGCGCTGATTGTTACTAGGTCTCTGAACTAAACCTGAATCTTTACAGAATCTCATTCCTTGTCCAGCGCCCGAGCTGGGTGGATTCTGAAGCCTAAGCAACTGCCCTAAGGCGGTGTGGTTCCTCTTCTTAATTCCAACCCCTTCAGCCCGTCCAGTCTTACAGGGAATGGAGCTCACGTTTCAGAGTCACACATTTTAAGTTCAAATTTGACCCCACGCCAAGCAAATGGTGCCACATCCCTGTGCCTCCATTTAGCTTTTGTGCAACATAGTGCTAATTCTCCCCCTGAGCCGCTGAAATGGTGCACTGATGTGCACTGTTGAACTTGGGAGTCCCTGTCCTTTCCAATACCTGAACAGAGGCTGGCTGAAAGCTAGGCGCAGGCCTCAGAGTGCAGGGACATCCAGTCTAATGCCGATGGCTCCTTGGGCAGACGGAGGCCAAAGGAGAGAGAACGGCTTCCTAAGAATGAGTTACGGCTGCTTCAGTTGCCGACCTCTTCTTATGCCACTCCCTGAATCCAGCTCCCGAGAGAGAGCCCATCTGCTTGGACCAACCTGGAGGTTGCAATGTATCCAAAGGGCTCAGACAAGGACAGCTGAACTGCGATATGATGCTGCTATCCCTTTTTTCCACACTGCTAGGAAACGACATTTTGGAGTTATTTTAGCCCTCCTGGGCTTTCTACTCTCATACAGATTTGCAGCTTCAGAAACCCACACGGGACAGTTCTACTCGGTTCTATAGGGTCGCTATGAGTTGCAATTAACCGGATGGCAGTTCGTGAGAAGGTTATTTTACTTCTTTCTTTAATCAGATCGCCTCTCCATCTCTCCCTTCCATGTTCTCTCAACAGTATTTTTTCCCTTCAAATCCATTTCTTCAAAACAGGCTTGAACAACTACCTGCCAGGCACTGTAATGGTATCTCTCGAGTCCTCACGGCAGCCATCGAATGAGAGATTATTCATCACATCTGAATTTCCTGGATGGGAAAACTGAAGTTCAAAGGGACAAAGCATATCGTCCAGAGTCACACACACAGTTAGTAACTGGAAAAGCTAGACCTGCTTCCTCCAGAGGCTGGACTCTGGGTGTCTTCCCCTGAGTGCCTGGTTCTTAAATCCCACGCCACTAAGCTTACCTTGAGTGTGTCCCCCTTGTTGAAGGCCAGCTCATCACTCTCTGTGGCCTGGAAGCTGTACAGGGCCACGGACTCCATCCTGCGGCCCCTGTCTGTTCCCTCTTCTGCACGCTTACTGTGCTGAAGCTTTCTGGCTCACAGAGGTGGGCCCAGGACTTCCTGCTTCCTCGCTGTGCAGTTGAGGACTGGTTTCCTCTGTTTTGAGATCTTGTTTGTCTTTTTTGAAGCGGAGACTGCAGCTGTCTCTGACAGGGGGGAAACAGGAAGCTCAGCTATGTCCCGGAACAGGGCGGACATGTGAGTTGGCCTGGTCCCTGCTGCAGGCGTTAGAAGCTGGCACAGTTTCTGAGGTGTCTCCATGCAGCCCTCGTACCTGTGTTCTGGATGATGAAACTGAGTGGGGCTTAGAGGGAGGCAGGCAAACTGTTGTAAAGCCAACCTGCTGATTCAGACACCTCCACCAATTTTCTAATTTCCCCCCTGTATTTCTTAAACTCCAATGATTCCTGGGCATCCCCAGTGCCTGCTACATCCCAAGCTCTTTGCCTGGCATTCCAAGCCCTTCCAAGCCACTACCACCCACACCCACCACGATACTTTCCCCTCCAGGCCCATCCTGTGCTATGCATGCTTTCTCCCACTCCAGAGGGGAATAAGAGGACAGTGTCACATACTGTTTCTTTCTGCCTAGTGCTCTCTTACCCTTCTCCTTCTAGAAGATTCTTATTTAGTCATCAAAGGTCCGCTTGGATATCTTCAGTGGCACACACATTCTACGGCAGAAAGAATGAAATAAATCTTGCTTTTTCCTTTACTATTGTTACATGACACTGGGTTGGTTCACACTCATAGTGATCCTGTGCGGAACAGAACGAAACACTGTCCAGCCCCATGCCATCCTCACAAGTGTTATGTTTCAGCCCAATGTTGGAGCAACTATGTCAATCCGTCTAGTTGAGGGTCTTCCAAGATGTGGATGTCCTTCTCCAGGGCCTGGTCCATCCCCCCATCACATGTCTCTAAAATACAGGAGACAAAGTCTTGGGGTTCTTGCCTCTAAGGAGCATTCTGGTTGTCCTTCCAACAGCGATTTGTTAGCTTGCATTTCTGGCAGTTCCCTGAAGATATATTGCTGCAAATATTTTTTTAATTGTCTTCAGTAAAATTTTACTTGCATGTGATATTAATGATATTGTTGGATAAGTTC